ATAGTGATACCTCAAGGCCATATAAACCAAAAAATTAACAATTTAAGTAAATTTCAGTTTATAATTTTGGAATAGCCATTTTTTACACATTTTCTTACATAGAGAAAAAGCACGATATTAAAACGCACATATATATTTTTACTTTCAATCGTTATTATATTGATATAACGTTTGATATTTGACAGATACGAACTGAAAATAAGTGCGAACTAACATCACATGACTTTGACAGTCATGTCAGTTGGCGCTTTTTTTTGTTCACTTGACAGATCTCTGAGTCTACTCTACTCTTTGATTCAAGCAAATGTTATTATGCAAAATAATAGACGTATAATTCGTATAACAAATGATATTCATTTGTCGCAAAGTATATGCTAAATTGAAGAATTTAAGCTTTAAAGAGATTTCCATAGATATCTTTTTGTAACAGTTCAATAACTCTTTTGTTAGATGAAACATAAGAGAATGTCTATTCCAAAGTAACGCATGTTTAAAACCTTTCATAGACAAAAATGCGGTCTTGACACGATAACTCTCTTCTAGAGAATAAATACATTTTAGCTTAGGTCTTAATAATTTTTGCTACTGGGATATGTTTTAACGACTTATTATGCTACTTTTTTATAATTTGTAACCATTTTAAGTACATTTTTATGCTTTTTTAATGAAGCTCAGCAAAATATCATGTATTTAGTTTTGATAAAAAAACATTTTTACTTTGGTTATATATCGTTCAAATCTTTTTAAAAATATCTGATAATAGTCAGATCTCTAGTCCCGATAATTAATAAGTTGTAATTAAGTATTTTGACTGACCAAATTGGTCATACACCATGGCTCAATAATCTAAGGTATGCTACATCGAAAATGTTACCAGTCCAAAAAATAAACCTCAATTGTTGCTCCCAGTAAAACTAATATTTTAGTATCTCTAACGAGCCTCATATTATTGTAGTGTGGTTTAAGTACAGTACACAACATTATTGATTATGAACCAATACTCCATCGTTATAGCGGCAGCGACTGATTCTTACAAAAACTAAAAAAAATCAATCAAATAATAATTCATACATGAGTAAAGAGGTTGGTGGGAAAGGCCGGTCAATATTCACCAAAGTACGGTGGGAATTCTACGTTTAAGGCGGGAAATAGGCTGTATGGTAATGACAGCTGCCGCGATCATCTTGGGACCTATGAAGTAAAGAGGTTTAATATAAATTACCTCACTCTATTGTGAATAAATTTAGCCAATAAGTGTTCATTTAGAATTCTAAACTTAAGTCAATTTTGTATTCGCGTCAATTCAAGCACCATTTTATTTGCCAGTTTATTAATTAAGACACAAGTTTGTTTGTTACATTTTTTATATTTATACATGGCTGACATTGGTGCTATTAACGATAGCGCATTTTATTTTAAGTTACTTATAAACCTAACGTACAAAAACGGACAACACGCCACATTAAGCGGTTTTTTAATGTAAATATATAGAAAATTAACTTATTCATGGCTTTAAGTCAGGAATGCGATTTACGAATGTTCAACATTGAATCAAAGTTAAGGTAACATTTGCCAAAAATAGGGACGGAATTTAAGGGTTTCAGTGTCTTGATTACTCTTTGGAGACATCTCATAAGGTCATTAGTTTTATTTCTATGGTTGTTGATATATTATGTAATTATTTGTTTATTCGAAGGTTTATGTCAATACATGTGGTCAATTAGATAGCGCTGTTTAGGCTAGACTTAAAATTTTAAGGTGATTTTTGTGTTCTTTGGAAATTCCTAATTAGTTACCATATACGATAAATTATTTAGAAGCTTTGATTGTGAATAAATATGATAGGCAAATTTTTCTAAGCGATTGTGATTCGGTGCATGTCCAAAACGCATCGTTAAATCAAATTTATTGTCAAAAGATATGAAATTGTAAAATTTACGGTGTATAATAGCAATGGATTTTAAAAAAAATATTCAATTTATCTGTGACATTGGATCGTTATTCCCTAGTGAAAATAGTTAGTTAATTTGATCGTAGAACAAGTAGGTAAATGAGTGTAATTGTATTGACCAGTGTCCAAACTCATGGTTAGCTTTTATCGTGTTGACACACCATAATTTATTTTGTACCATGTTTTTATGTTGGTAATCTTTTTAATTGTTTAAATCACTTCGTTGATTATTTTTCCGTTTCATTAGTTTGTAATTTAATGTTAATCGTACTATTAAGTTAGGCAAATGTGTTTAAATGTAAATATATAGAAATCATGTATGTAGAAGTACATAAATATTATTTATGTATTAAATTTGATATTGTTTTCAAAATTATATTGATTGTATTATTTCAAAACCAAACTAATAGAGACTTTTAAGAGGTTTCTATTAAATGAAACTTTACGAACGTGGATCAACCTAAAATGAATTACCGTTAATCATAACCTATAAGTTGGATAATGTCTTTTTCAATTCTTTTTAACTTTGCAAGCGCACGGCCCATGGACACTCACATTACCAGAAGGCTGGCAAGTGGCAAGTGCGATAAAAAAATAAAATATATCAGTGGGCGCTACATTAGGCCTGGACCTCAGATTTATGTATCTGTTTCATGATCATTTGAAGATCTTATACTTAGGCAAATAGTTGATCAGCCTTCTGAGGCTGACACACGCCACCGACTTTTTGGGTCTAAGGCAAGCTAAACCAGCTTGCCTTAGACTCACGATGTTTTCAGTAACTGTTCGAGCGAATGTTAAATTCGCACATAGAAAGAAAGTCTTTTTAAAACTTAAAACTTATTTACTTAATTTTTTTTTAAATTAATATCGCTTTCGAGTGATAGTGTCTCTTCTAGGCAATCACTATAATTTAAAGATATCTGACTCTGACATTTGATTTTTAAGTTAAATATAAATCGTATAAATATTTGTATTTTAACATCAGTATGTAGACGTCATACTCTAAATCGCGCTATCAAAGTGTGTCCGACCACAGAACATGTACACATCACGACAGCAAATTGGGCCTTCGGGCTTGTCAGCAGTTACACGGGTAGGAAAGGATCCTACGGATCTACTAAAGGATCTTTATGTTAGAGGAACAGTACCTACTCCTTCATCTACAATTCTGTTATATTCTATATAATGTCTCTGAAATATGAGACACCAAAAGTTACACTAAGACGCCAAGTTATTAAAAATATGCCTGAAATACTTTGGTTATAGATTTAACATACCGCCTTATTCATAATATACTATATAGCCTTACAACTGTACAGAACGTTTTAATACATATCCACGGTTGCACACCACTGCTAATATCATAAATTCCGATAGAACTAAAGATAAATTTAGTAATTATTAGGCTAAAATCATTCACAATTACACCGTACCGTCATCTACAATTCAACAATCACGCGGGACAAAAATATTTAGCGGAATACTAATTCAATGAAATCATCAACAAGCGGCCCTTTTTTTTCCAAGGTCAAAGTAATAAAACGTTTGAATATTAAATGGCGCCAAAGCTGAAGCGGCCACATATTAGCTAAAATTGTCTATAGAAATTGCAAGACTTCTAGTACAATATTCCAATGGAAACTCCTTGATAATACAAACTTAATGGATTTGACTTTTGAAATATGTCGTTTTGACAATTGACGTTTTTAAGAAAGACTTAACTATTAATTCACTACAATACAAACATTTAAGGAATAAATCCATGCCCGATGGTTCTTACGCTGAGACAAAGACGATTGGCGTCTTTGGAGAAGATTTAACTTTAATGAATTAGGCCATAAGTACCTACCCCTTTTTAAACATGAAAATAACTTGTTCTGCCTACATTTATTGGCCAATGACGATTTCATTCACTATACTAAAATTCTAAGTCGATTAAGAACTTTTTATAGCTAAACTTGCGGAATACTTATTTGAAGATAAGTGGCAAAGATTTTTATAGCAAATGTAGAAGTTTTTATTACTTCACGTGTAGGCTAATGTAAGTTTTATTTTCTTTATTTCATATTTGTGATCATCAGATATCATAATTTTCGTGGATATAAGGGAACCATTTCGGTACTATAACTATATCTATAGTTAAAATACTTTATAAAATTATTGAAGTGACAACCGCTGAGTATTTTTATACATTCTCTCTATAATTAGCCATCATTGAACATTATGATCCAGGCTCACAAAAGAATTGATGTCTAACCTAATTTACTAATAAAGATATTTTTCATAAGAAAATGTCCAATAACAATACTTAGTGTCTATTAAGGGGAAGATACTCTGTTCTGTTCTTTTCAGTTTAATACATATTTACTTTTCAAATTTTTGTCTAGCTAACGTAGTTTGTAAATTATGTAAGTAAAATAATAAGTTGCCACTATAAAATATTAAATTAAGTAGTTACACAGATATAGAAATGATAACGACATGTACACGCAACATGCGATTACATTATTCGTTTTAACATCGTAAGTAGCTTTTAATATTTATTTAATTAAATTGAATTTTTTAAATTTAATAATTAATAAAATATAAACATGTGGTTAAGATTCTTAACATAAGCGCGCAGGGGATGGTCGAGTCGGAGTAAGGAATAGAGTATAAAGGTAGCTCTGGCACATGCCCACGGGCACAAAGCCGCCCGCGCGGCAATGCCAATTCAAAAAAAAACGTCTTTAGGCGTCCTTCGTACTTCGCTCGGTTCAGTGAGCTTCCGTCCTGCCCTTCAGGCGATTGACCAGTAAACACGTTTTTAATACAATAAAAATCGTCTAATTGTAAACCATTCCCGAATCTAAGTGAACACACAAAATTTCATTCAAATCGGTCCCGTCGTTAAGACGTGTACGACAGTACGACACACGCAGAATATTTGTATATACACTATATTTACTTGGGTTAAAATACTCGTTTTATTGACAGTTGTATGTTTTAAAGGAGCAAAAGTCTATAAAAAGTTTAATAACGTTTATTATTATTAAAACCAAATAAATTAAGAATCAGAGTCATCGCACTCTTCAACCATATCGCTGGGTGGGCCAGGTTGCGCTGGTGGGCCCCAGTTCAAATAAATGCTTTCTGTATATATAGCTAGTCCAAATGAAAACAACCACCTGCAAAAAAATAAAAAAAATATTTTAATATTAATTAAATCAGAAAAGAAATTTGATTTTTTTAGTTAACATGTAGCTCCTATAGTGGTGTTATTTTTTTAATATATTAAGTAAATGATTTACAACAACGACCAGTATTTAAGCCTTGATCCTTGTTTAAGCTGTTGTGGAATATGCTTAAAAGGACTCCCACACAAAACTTCTAATTTCTGCATACGATTTAGTGCGGCAAACCGTTTGGTCACATTCCTTCTATCAGCCTACTGGACGTGTTTTTAGGAAGCGTAAATGATCGCAAAAGATTATTCACTGCTGTTATTGTTAAATAGATATAAAAGAAAAAGAAGATTCTGGGTTCATCCATTTATTACGATTATGAACTCTGATGCAAGCTTTCACAGACGCTCTTCCACGCATCTTGCTTAATAAATTTATTTTTATAATGTTCATCACTTGTGTCCCAAAGGACGGGACGCTCCGCATTAAAAATATTAAAAAATTCATATCATATTCATATTATTTTTATAAACAAAGAAGGCGGCGGAGGCGCCGCGCGTCTTTCTCTAAAGCTTCTCAGAGCGGACTAAATTGGCGTCACCAAGGATGACGTAATATCGCAAGAATGTGCGATGCGAAGCAGATCGGAACTTCTTGCGGTGCGTTCGTGCGAATTCGCAGATATTTGCGATGCGATGCATTCGCAGTTTTGTATTAAGAATATCCATAGCGCTAAAATCTAAATAACCTGCATCATAAGCACACCCCATATATTATACACCCTCACTTACACACCATCGCACAACACAGCCGAATTAGGTATTACTAGAATGTACATAATAATTTTCTCCTTCAAAGTTTCGTAAAATTTTTGAACCTTTTTGTATACAATGTATATTCCATCGTTGGCTATATCTTAGTAAAATTGTTTTTTTAAATGTAATTTAGCTGTAGAAGTACGAAATAAATAAATTAATTAATTAAACGCAGAGTTGCCCAGAGGTTTCAGCGTGCGACTTTCACCCCTGCGGTCGTTGTTTCGAACCCCAGATCAATGGACTTTCTATGTGTGGAAACCGGCATGGCTTAGAGCCAAGAAGTAGACTGCTACTTCAATATTAGAAAAAATTAATTACAATACAGAGTCATAAATCCGAAGACCAGGCCTAAAAGGGCACAGCCACAGGTATTTTTTAATTATTTATATGTTATATTATATTGTACATGTTTCCTATAGTTGTGGTTTTGTGGGTTTTTATGACAACAAACAAACCAAAATAAAACGTTTGAAAATAGACTATATATATATCATTAATAATAGAGCCGTATTTACTGGTTCTATTTAAAAAAAATCGAACCAACACTAAGGTTGGTAAAACATGGTTTAAAAAAATCCATAATAATCTTACATTCAGAATTCCAATATTATTACTTGTCTGAGCCAAAAAATAGGATATTGTAATGGACGATAATTTTAATTTCCATTTCATGGAAGCTGTATAGTTTTTTTTCTATAGAATAGCGAGCAAAACTGATGTTAAATGATACCGCCGCCCATGGACACTCTCCACCGCCAGAGGGCTCGCGAGTGCGTTACCAGCCTTTTAAGAATTGGTACACTCCATTCCTGAAGGACCCTAAGTCGAATTGGTTCGGAAATACTTTAGTGGGCAGCTGGTTCCACATAGCGGAGTTGTGGAACGGCGGACGTCGAGGTGATACGGGTTAAATAAATGTTAGTGTCTTACCATACAATTCCAGCAAAGAGATGTTTGTTGTAAACGGCTTGTTTTTCTCTATACCAGGGCTCCCAAGCACCACACGGCACGGGCAGCTCATTCATGTGGGGGTAACAAAATCCTAAAAAGAATTTATAATAGAAACTTTTAAGAATTCAATTGAAACCTACTGGAATTGACGGGATTGTAGATGTTCTGTAGATGAAACATTATATTTACTTATCTTACGTAGAATATTTTAGCATATACTAATTTCAAGCGATATGAAATTTTCAAAATTCGTCGAAATCTGTGTGAACATTAACCGATTGAATTCTTCAAGCAAAGGACGAAAGGAAGCAAAATATAAAGTCGAACTGATGATGGGTCTTCCTAGTAGGTGTTGGATATGTATTTCAAAAACTTGTGTCAAAAAATTCCGACCGCTCCGATCGCGATCCAGCCATTGGGGCCTTAGGGCCAGTCCAATTAGACTGGTCAAGGATCCCTTAACACGCCTTTGTTAGCTTTTTCAAAGGAATTTGGTACTGCTAATACTTTACAACTCCTGGGCACTAAACTGACTAAATATTAACTATGAAACATGATTGCACGCAAATATCTAATAAATTCTAATACTAAACGAGAGATACTTACTTGTTTTACTACAGTATTCCTTCTTTTGAATAAGACAAAAAATATTTTTTCGCAAACCAGTAATGGCACGCATAGTTACTATTTAATAAGTCTTAAATCGTAATGTGTCACTTCATTTGTTTTTCAAAGCAAGTGTCATTGACAAATCGAAAATTTCATAAAAAACAAAAAGGATTTACATGTTTGATGTTGGTAATAATAAAGTTCTTGCACATAGAATGTGCTAGTTAACGAATTGGAAATCGAGGAATGCTATTTGCGCATTCCTTACTACTCAAATGCTACGGGTATATGTAGGAATCGACTCACACCAGGCATCCTCTCTGCTACTCAGAGGCGGGTGAGCAATACCCACTAAAACCTTTTAAACCAGTGACGAATAATGTGACTCCCGGGGTCCCTTTCGCATTTAACTAGGGCCACTGTTTTACTACTACTTTGGTCAGTGGCGTAACAATAGGGTGGCAGAGCTGGTAAAATGCCACGGGCCCCCGAACCAAGAGGGCCCCTGCCCAATAGATATTATGTTCTATGGATGAATGTGAAGTCCCCAATAGCTTGGGGACTACAGACCATTCCCTCTCGCCTAAGATAAGAGGCCCACTATGGCCATTAGTGGGACATATACAACTTGTAATTGAGTATGCTGAAAATCTCCAAGTTTAGTAAAATTAAACTGAGTACAACGTGATGATTTTTCCTGATAGGGCCCCATCAAAAGAATTTGCCACGGGCCCTAGATGGTATAGTTACTCCACTGACTTTGGTCTATATAAAGTTTGGGTTTGCCCTTACATAACTGAATCTAAATAGAGAAGTCTTCTCTACGATATTCCTCTACAACCTACGACCAAATGTTAAATCCATACATAACTCGGTACCTGTTTAAAATCCTAACGGTTAAGGTAAATAATGCTGTGAGAGAGGTTGGGTTCCTTTAAACTTAAGTAGCAGAACTTTGAGTTTTTATGATCTGTAATTTTGTTATATATCTGTATACATTTTTAGGTTCTTTTGTTATGGAAAGGTTTAGGTTCTTTCTTTTCTATTGAGTTAGTGCTAAGCTGTAGTGGTACAAAATAAGGTAATAAATTAAACAAAAAATATATTTTTCCCTTCCCGAGTAAAACAGCACAGTTTTAACATATAAAAAACCCAGTGACGCCAAGAGGCTTCAGCGTTAGAGAGAGGCCTACTACTAGGTACTTACTAGGCCTCAGATTTCTCTATCTGTTACGTGATCATTTGTTTTTATTTTATAAGTGTGCCTTTACGCCGTCGATTTTTGGGTCTAAGTCCTCACACTATGTTTTTCTTCGCCGTACTAGCACAGTTGTAGTACGAAAGCACGACGTCAGAATTGAGAGTCTAGCATACGCATGTTTATATCTCAACCACAATCAAATATTACAATCAGGGTTTAAAATAACTGAAACATTTAAAACTAAAATTTATTTATTTCAAAGACGAACCTTAGACATAAATAAAGGCCTTAAACAAATTTACGTTAATTACGAGATATTTAAACATATCACGGCCTACAACTTCAATAAAATATTAAATAAACGGGGTCCGATTTCTTCGCTTGCTGATAGATGGCGTTGTTCTAAAAAAACTTAAATTTAATCTCGTTATATTCGAATTAGGAACGTTAAATCGTATCTATAATGACGTACTTTACTAAAAACAATACAAAAAACCTCAAGGTAACGTCGTAAATGTGTGAATGTCAGTTGATCAAAGTATAGTGACCTCTATTTATAAAAACTAAATCAGTCCAATTATACTTTAATAAAAGTGCTCAAGTGTCTCTTTTCATCATAGCGTAAATACAGTTGGACGGAAAAGACAAGAGAGTACTTTAGTTTCTGCAATAACACTGATAGAGTTTTTATGAATCAGCCATATTTTGTTAGAATATCTTGTCAGTAAATTATTAAAAACTTTACTAATCTTTGACTATCATCCAGCTTTTATACATTAATTTTGATAAAATTAAAAATGGATAGTAGGTAACGGCGTAACTACATAAATTATAATATATATATAATACTTCGATAAAGTTGAAAATGTTTAATATTCTGTGTAATGCACATCATTTAATGACATAAATAGAAGCAGCGCCATCTATTAGAGATAAAGAAAAACAAAATATACAAAAAAAAGTGAATTGCCTCAGTAAATGTGGAGTTCAAATAATTTACTTAATGGAAATAAAAAACTTACAAATGAGATTGTCTTAGTGGTTTAACGATTCTCAAGCCTCAGCGTTGCATTGCTTATATAATTTTTACTGACGCAAATGGTAATATCGCATATATAAACAATAATAATTTCTGTCGGGGTTTGAACGCTCAGCAAACTAGTGTCCGTACTCTTAAACGTCAAACTTAATGTAGTTACAACAAATTATTTTCTAAGTTTGACATCTTTGCCAGTGCTCAAGTCGTACTTGTGAATGTGAGTTGAAAATCGACTGCTGCTGTCTGATAACACACACTTTGATGATCAATGTGACAAGGTTCCAACTCGGTAATAGGACACAAAAATGTGTTGCTTACCTTATACTATTCTTAGACTATTAAAAGGCTGGAAGTTATTTAGTAGAACATTTCTTTCAGTAAAATTATTGCTATTATTTAAATAACGTTCTTGATAGACACACCTTAGGAATTTTCTATAAGTACTTCGTTTTAACAAAAACATAACACCGATATTTTTATATTAAATAAAAAATGAGGGTAGTCACAAAAAATTATAATTACACTAATTATAATACAAAGTGTAATAAAAGTCTAACATTCAGAAAAAACTATATAAATTATACAGTGTTTTAACTAAAGTATTCACCGACTTAATTAAAACAGCGTAAAAAACTGTTTTTATTGACGATTTTACGAATTCAGCGTGTAATCTGAAATTATATTTATCAATTCCTCAGTATGTTTTTATTCAGACAAAATCCTTATTACTAGCTTACAAAATATAGTTAAAATTAATTAAAGACAACTAAATTTTATCTACTCTCAGGTTTTGGTTTAGGGGGTTTGAATCCCATAATTTTCTTCTTTTTCTTCTCCTTTCCACTTGACGATTGAAAGGTTTTCCAACTGTCCACGCGGTTTTGTCGAGACTCCTGAGAAAAGTGAAAATTTCGAAATATTAGACTTGGCTGAAGTACCCTTTATTCCATATTTGGTAGTCAAACCAGTGGCAACACAAATGGAGAAGTTTAAATCCGACTGAAAGACTTGTTTCCAAGGTCAAATAGTAAATTTTAAAAATAAGTATAAATTTGACTGAATGGCCATGTGGTAAATAAAAAAGAATAAAATCTAACGGAAGGGCTAGTATCCTTGGTCATGGAATAAGTTTAAAAAAAGTTTTTATTATTGCGTTTTTTACGAAATTAATTTTTATATAAATCTATTAAACATCTTTCGTCTTTGGAGTTGTGTTAGCCTAGTGACCTCGGCTCTGCATCCGACTTTATTTGTGTGCGTTTAACACACAAGGAAAACATCACGAGGAAACCAGCATACTTAGACCACGGCGTGTATCAAATCTTAAAATATCAAAAATCATCGTTTCGATAACGATATCTGAAGACCAAGGGTTGTTGTTGCATCGGTTGTAGATTTAATGTTAATTAAACATTACGTACTCCGTCTATTTCAACTTACTTCAAAGTTCTTGGCCCACTCTTTCTCAAAAGACATTTGCTCCTCTTGTTCAATTTCCGATTCCCGTTTTCTTTTTCTCTCTTCCATGTCTCTTGTTTCTAGGTGTTGCCTCTTTCTCTCCATATCAGCAAAGAGCTGGAACCATTTAAGTATATTAGTTTAAATAAGTAAATAGTATAGGGCAAGGAGTTACAAGGATTTTTTTTTTAATTTTAGAAAATGTTTGTAATCTTTTTTGTGTGCATAAGGGATGTGATATATCGTAAAATAAAATCAACTGACAAAATGAACTGTAACATCAATTTTACACATAATATATTGATTTATTTTGTTAAATATTTCTTAAACAAAATGGGCTACCAATACATATTACTCCAATGCGGCCACTATGTACATTTATATCACATACAAAACAATACATACACATAAAAAAACGTTAAAAAGTATATTAAAATATTTTCAAAGACTATTTCTTACAGTATAGGAACTGACGTGAAGCAGACCTTTTGTCAGTTCACTCAACTGACAATTAAAAAGTCTATTAATATATGCAGTTCCCCACCAGTTCAGTACGTGACTCCCTTATGTCAACATCAAATGCCATTACAACTTTGACAGACGGGTCATGTTTAGCATTAAGTTTCAACTATAAATATATGATTATAATTGTTCAACAAATTAAGCATCAAAATTAAAATCCCTTACTGATAATACAAAATCAAAAGTATTCTTACAATACCTTCATAGTCATAACATAGACAGCGTGCTTAAATTTATCTGGATCATCTTCTGGTATTGGCTCATCACTACGGCCTTCTTTCCTTTGTTTCTTGCGTTTCTGCTCTATCTGTCACAAAATTAACATCTATTAATTACCTATCAATGACAACTTTTACCAATATGAGCAATTCTTCTAGTATGACAAGATATCAATGTAACACAGGCATTTACAAGTAATTGAAAGTTATAAGTAGTACAGTACAAATTTTGTAGTACCTTTCTTTTACAATCATGATGGCTGTCCAAAACTCACTAAAGTACAAATTTTTTATACTCATTAAAGATATAGGATAATAATAGTATTATATGTAATATAATAGATTTGAAATCCTAGAGTTATTAGAACTAATAGTCTTCTATATATACCTACAGCTCGCTTATCTACACTTTTAATAGTCTCGTGAATAGGCTATCTCACTCTTACAACTTAATTACTAGCATTGATGAAAATATTGATATATTTTACAAAAATCTTTCATTTTACCATAACTTTGTTTTATCATGCATCTAGCCAATTTCTGAACAGTTTTTATATCATTATTGGTCAATTGTCATTTCAACATTAAGCAGTTCCTTTTTTAAATTAAGTGAAGGTTTATAAAACTACTTTATTATATGCAGATTATACTAATACAGCAGATTTTAGGCAAAATTCTGTCAGAAGAATACTTACCATATGTTCAGTCCTTTCTTTCGCTTCTTGGTATATGTCCAAGCATTTCTTTCTAGTGTCCTCATTTTCCAAGGTCTTCCATGCACGATTCACTATCTCAAATGAGTGTTGAGCTCGCTCGAGATCATCCTGTAAAAAAACAGACATATATGACACATAGTTACTTTACATGTCAGTATTCAAATTACATTAGTGATGCTTAGCTAATTTATAGTATTATGTGAATGTTTTAAAGAAAAAACTTTTGCAGATTATTCAGGAAGTCTTAAGAGTTTTACAATCTTGAAGTACTTAAAGATACTTTCTTTAAGGCTGTTTATAATAAATGTGTACTGAATTTACATGGGTTAATCCCTCAATGAGAATTTTTAAAATGTAAAGATTTACAACAAATAAAATAATTCATTAGTGTGCTATTATATTTACTATCGTTTTTCATTGTAAGAATACCTAATGGGACATATATTTTCAAAACTGTCTCTATTGTTATACAGAAAACCAAAACCCATTTCATCAAACAAAGCATCAAAATTTATTTGGACATCCTGCACTTATTTAAACTTTACTGCACAATATAACAAAATATAAAATAATCTCACTTGGTGCAGGGGGAGCCTTATCGCTATTAAGTGATCTCTTCTAGGCAACCCTAATTTAAAATAAAACAAAAGAGTAGTTTTTTTTAACATTCTTTAATGTGCTTCTTGACTATGGTAACTGCAGTGACTAATATTTAGTCATTCTGTTTTTATCTTACCTATTAAGAAGCATGGTGGGTAGATTCAGTAACCAATGTCCATCTGTGAATGAAAACGAAATATTGACGGGGCTACCGTCTGACCAAAACAAAACCTTCTTACAAACTACGATAAAGATCAATTAGAGTGTTGTAAAGTATTTAAAAAATCCATGATTTCTAGATATAGCAATATTACTCTTTTTTTTATTAAAAAGTTTATTTATATTTTGTAAATACTCACCATATTTTTATCAGGATGTACCAGAATTGAAAGACGTCTATATTTTTTTTTAATTTCATCAAGAGTGGCATCTGGCTCTACTTGCAAGACTTCAAATGGATTTAAATTAAAATAGGTAGATCCTGGCCGAAGTAACCTTTCAATTTGTTGCTTAGGAGTTAAAACAGAATCCCTTTTTTCTATTTCCTTAACCTGAAACAGAACAGAATTGTAGAAAATAAATTATTTATATATTAGTAGGTGTATATTATATTTATAACAACATAAGGTTTCATGTAGGTAGGTATATTTAGTATCAGATGATTTCAGCAATTCTCTGTAATCTTTCTACAGCATGTGTGTATGATAAAACTTGTATTAAAATGCTTAATTAATATTCATTTGCAAGTATATTAAAAAAATAGCCATTACTTGATAATAACTAACATCAATATAGACAACTTAAACAATATCATCTTGTTTAAATTACGATTTAACTGCGTATTTTGTTTCTATGATTAGAACAAATTACCTCAGAATAAAACTCTTCAAAAGACTCTTTCTTGTTGCTAGTCGATGACATCGTAGTACCTAAATAGTAAATAAGAACACAAAGATCTAACTATATACAGGATTCTGGTTCATTTGGAATATTCGCCATTCAAGGAGCAAAATCGAATTATTTATCAGAAATTAATGTACAATTACAAATGTTCCGTTTAGCAGAATAATTAATAGCTAAATAAGGATTGGGATCATTCGAGTATTAACTTTAGTTACCACAGGGTAAATTAAAAATTTAAATATAATATAACCTAAAAATTTATTTGATAATTCGTAGTTGACAATAACATTAGTATACACACTGACTGATCGCTTTGTCACGTGACCATTCACAAACACGTTAGGCGTTAGAGATAACAATGGGCGTGTTCGGCCGAAAAAAAGTTTTTACAAAATTAAAAAAAGCCATCCCCACCTAAAAAAAATTCCGGGCGGGGAAAAAAAAAAAGACCCCGCAGGGGGGGTTTTTTTTTAAACCCCCCCTTTTTTTTTTTTTGTTTAAAAAAAAAAAAAAAAAAAAAAAAAAAAAAAAAATTTTTTTTTTATTTTTTTTTTTTTACCCATCCCCCCTTTTTTTTTTTTTTTTTTTTTTTTTTTTTTTTTTTTTTTTTTTTTTTTTGGGTTTTTTGGGGGGGGGGGGTTAAACCCCGGGTTTTTTTTTTTTTTTTTTTTTTTTTTTGTCCCCCCCCCCCCCCCCCCCCCCCCCCCCCCCCCCCCCCTTTTTTTTTTTTTTTTTTTTTTTTTTTTTTTTTTTTTTTTTTTTTTTTTTTTCCCCCCCCAATGTCAAAACTGTCGTTCATAAAATTTGTTAAATAAGAGATGGATCTTCTATTAAATAATTGTTTTTTCAATACGTATGGGTCAGACTTAGAGCTAAGTCTCCTTTTTTAAATATTGTACTGAATCAACATATTCAATATATTGAGTATATATATTTGTATTAATACTCTATATAAATATGTAGATCTGTGTATTTTCTATGGTAGTAAACTCGTTATCTGTGCTCGGTTCACTAGGGCGGCACGGTGGACGGTCTCTGTGGGGCTGAGACAAGATGTTAGATGACTACGTATATAGTCGGATTTTTTTTTTTGGGAGGGGCCCGGGGGGGGGGGGAGGGGGCTTGGGGAAAAAATTTGGGGTTTTTTTTAAGAAAGGGGGGGGGGGGGGGTTTTTTTTTTTTTGGGGGGGGGAAAAAGGGGGGGGGAAAGTTATTTTTTTTAAAAAAAAAAAAAAAAATTTTTTTTTTTTTAAAATTTTAAAAAAGGGGGGGTTTTAATTGGGGGGGGGGCCTATAGTCAATAGTGTATTCTACCTTAGGATCTCAAACTTAATAATGATTAAATTTGAATAGCATAATTTTATACGCAGAATAATATTATTTTTGCGAAGAATAATGAATCATTACTATTTACAAGTGTTCTGTTAAGGATAAAATCACGATCAAATCACAAAATCACAATCAAAAATTGGCCCAAATAGATGACGAAAATTGGTATCATTTGGCATTCGTTGGCATATTTTAACGCCGGCTCCACATGTGGGTCCCAACGATCGTACCAACGTTGGACTGCAAACTCGGTGAGGCGTACACACGTTGGCTAATAAACTAGTTCTGTCCCGTCAGGGCCAATGTGAAGATGTCCGATACAGAAATCGAACGTTGTCTGTTGATGATCCAGATCGAGTAGAGTCACTAATTTTCTTTCTGTAAAGGCGATATGTGCTCATTAACGATTCTCGCTTTTTTTTAAATCTTCAATTGAGAAATTCATTCCCATATTTTGTTGAATGGTGCGCCATGCATCAGCTATTAAATTTTTATTTTTATGATCCTTTCGAGTTGCGTCCCATATTATTGGATGTGCTTGATAAAGTTCAATAAATTCTATTACTTTTTCATTTGTTTATGCCGGTGGCAATTTTGTGGATGAGGAAGCCATTCTCGCTCGACGTACGCACTCGCTGCGTGCTGTAACAGAACTAAGCAAAGCGCCAGCCGCCAACGTGTGGACAGATCGCGAGCGTTGGCGCAGATTCCTTTGATGAAACCGACACGAGCCGGCCAACTACCAACACTCGCCCCAACGTTGGGACCAATGCCATTTTCTAGATCCACACGTTGGACGAATAGCGTTGGGGCCAATATTGGGGCCAACGTGTGGAGCCGGCCTAAGGATCACAACTGTCAAAAAGTGACTTTGTCTCAAGCCCCAGCCGTGAGCCGTCAGCTTCAAAAGTCAATCAGTCAGTAATGCCAACTTCGGGATTTTCTGCCCAAATTAAGGGGGAATCAAGATGTCTTGGGGGGAATTGTTAAGAGCTACTTTATTAAGAATTTTTAAATTAAAAAACGTACGATTCTATACTATTTACATTAACCTAACCAATAAACTAAACCAAATGTAAATCAGTGTGGCTATAATAAGTACCTAGTAATTTTGTACTAGTTGAATGTATTTTTGATATATATTTCAATTACAAAGTGTACAACAAGAGTTTTATATGGTTTTAATTAATATTTAGGGTTTTTGAAGTTGATTTTAGGGGGAACATTCTGTAGAAGTTGGCTTCACTGCTGACTGCATGTGACTAGTGAGTAATCGGTTTTAGTCTAGGGATGATCGATGTTAGAAAAACATCGATGTCATAATCGAAAGCGCAACATCGATGTTCGATATTTATCGAAAACCAAACAAGTCGTCGGAAATATCCGCGAACCTGGCTTAATGACGTCATACAAACTGGAGAGATAGAAAAAATTGAAGATGTAAAAAAAAAAAATATTTTATTTGTGTACTTATTTTTATTGATACTCGTACCTACCCATCTTACATACAGCACTAAATAGGTAGTTTATGTAATATTTCACCAAACAGAGAAACAATAAACACTAAAATGCGATTACGAAAGCAAGAATAATACATGTGCGGCGTCGGCGATTGCGTTGGCAACGGTACTGGATAGGCGAAAACGGGGGCGGGACCAGGAAGCGCATTCCAGCGAGGTTCGCAGATATTTCCGACGGCTTGTAGATGGATAACATCGATGATTTTTGCATTAATAATTGACAAAAAAAATATAGTGAAATGGTTCGAAATTTATTAAGAAACAGAACAATATTTACATATATACATATATAGTATACATCGATGTTACAATACTTTTGAGTTTTGGTATAGCAACAAGATGTCAAAACATCGATGTTTTTGCTTTCAACATCGATGATCATCGAGCATCCCTATTCTAGTCCCAAGACCCATCGGTATTCGGTGATCAGCCATTCCCCTAACTCTAAACTTTAAAGTCCACAATCTGAATCAACTCTCTTTGTACTTGCAACAGGTACGATTTAGTCAAAATGTAAAATAGTAGATATGTTGCTTTATAGTATAATCATTAAATTGAAAAAAAAACGACATCAAAACATCCGCCGGCTTGTAAAATATTATAACTTCTGAATTCTGATGTTGCAGCAAAACCCAATGATTAGCAAAGCTCCCTTAAAAATAATATAAATTATATATATAGGTACTTAATATATAATTTATATTATTTTTATAAAGTAAGTTTTAAAAATACCTTGGATGACATTTTCAAGACCATTAAACTTAAGAAATGTTATTTGTTAATAGTTCTAGGCAGTGTACTACCTATAACTTTATATTTATTTTATGTTACTTTACATTTAAAATTTACTTAAGTTTTATAATGTTTCAGGGTTTGGTAATTTGTAAAGATTGAAACAAGATCAGGTAATTATCAAACATTATTTAAATATCCTTCATTCAATGTCATGGGAAAAGCCTTTTAAGTCACAGCATTTAAAAATTAACATTAAAAAAAATAAAAATCATTTAATTCAGACCATTAAAAGTCCATATATTGTTATTGGAGTAATACTAATAACTATGTTAGTAAAATTAAAATTTAAGAGTACCTAGTGTATCAACATTTTTACCTAAGAAGCTACGTCTGCAGTTGAAATGTTACAGATTATCTCATTTTCAAGCAATTACTTTATTCTACTTTTGAAAGAAACAATCTGTAACAGAATATTTTGATTACTATTTCCATTTCTAAATTAAATACTGCTGTATTCTCCATCCCATGGCCATCAATATCTCCAGACTTGACACCATAATAAAATTGAAAATGATGAATATGTGATTTTAGATTTGAAAATAACTTAAAACATTGTCCTTAACTATGTCTTGAGACTGGAGGGGACAGTGATACTTTACTGATGTCGACCTAACAATATTAACATCATCAACTGTGTATAAAATATAATAATTTAGTTTTTTTTATTGGATTTATAATTTGGATAATCTCATTATCTAAAATTATATATTTTAGATATATAATTTTAGATAATGAGATATATTTATCAGAAACTGTTTAAGAAATGTTTTTGGTTTGTTTCAAATCTCTTAATGTAATTTCATTGGCTTCCCATATAATTATTGAATTGAGTAAAGGTATAAATATTTAAGCCTTTTTATTGCTATAAATTAAATTCAAAAATGTATCTTAGTTAATAGTATTCTTATCATTTTTCCAGGTATCATGTTCACAAATAAAGTTGTAATTATCACTGGAGCAAGCTCCGGCATTGGTGCTGAAACAGCTATTGAGTTCTCTAAACTTGGAGGTAATGTTGTAATAACAGGAAGGAATAAAGATAATTTAGAAAAAGTGGCTGCATCATGTCAGCAAGCTTCACCAGAAAACTTGCAACCTCTTATAGTTATATCTGACATGAATAAAGAAGATGATGTGGAGAATATCATAAACAAAACAATTGAAAAATTCAGTAAGCTGGATGTGCTCGTGAATAATGCTGGTGTTTTGGAATCTGGAACGATAGAAACAACATCGTTGGACCAATATGATAGAGTAATGAATACAAATGTCCGAGGTCCATATTACATCACAATGTTGGCTACATCATATCTTATTAAAAGTAAGGGATGTATCGTAAATGTTTCTAGTGTGACAGGCATGAGATCATTTCCTAATGTCTTAGCATATTGTATGTCTAAGGCAGCTTTAGATCAGTTTACAAGATGTGTCGCGTTAGAATTAGGTGGGAAAGGTGTGCGTGTCAACTCAGTTAATCCTGGCGTTATAACGACTGGCCTGCATAAAAAAGGTGGTATGGACGATAGTGATTATGAGGATTTCCTGAAAAAATGTGCAGCAACACATGCTTTGGGTAGACCTGGCGATGCGTCAGAAGTATCCTCTGTCATTGTATTTTTGGCTAGTGAAGCTGCTAGTAATATTACTGGAGCAACTTTACCGGTTGATGGGGGACGCCATGCTATGTGCCCACGTTAAAAATCCGTTTTCTCTAAGAAATATATGTGAGATTAATAGGTGTTGTTTATTTTTTTTTATAACCTGTCCTAATTTATTATATTATGGTAGACTACTGTTAATTTTTTCTACAGAAATGTTTTATTGCTTGCCATTGCGAAAGAAGATTGGCAGTTTTATACATTGGGCCTCTTCTCTCTAGCGCCAATATGGCGATACTGCATCATGCATGTTAAAGCACTTTCTGATATCCAACATCTTTTGATGAGGATCGATCAGGATCAAAGCCTGGTTATGCATCTCCTCATTCACCTCAAGATCGGAATTTCTTGAACTGACACGAATTCGTCGTAAAATGATGCGTAGTTTTGTCAACAGATGGCACCACATGGTTTTTGCATTCGTAAAATTAATTAATTAATTTATTGTTATTCGATAGCTTATCCGATATTTTATTGCTTATTCTGCTATTCGGAGCGGAGAAGAATCCACCAAAAAAGAGATAACTAACATCGGTCCAGCCGATCTTGAGTTATAAGTGGTGTAACTAACACGACTCAGAAAGTACCTCTGAACCCCATGTTGTTTTCAATCTAGACAACATTATTCCATCTTGTAGTTTCCTTTCTAATCAAATGTTGCTCTTGGCAATCTATTGTTTTTCCTGTTTTAATCGTAGTAAGGCGTATTCCGGTATCGTTTTCATCTGACTTCTCATTCTAATACATGGCATACCTGTGGAAGAGAAAAAAACTATCACCGAGTATTTAGGTTCCAAATATGGAGAAAAATGTACCACAAGTTTTAGCCCAGTATCTTAGCCATCTAACTCTCCAGAATAACTACTGATACATTATACTACATATGGACAGAAGCAAGGAAAATTGTTTATCTTGATGACTGATGCTAAAGACGTAGGTAGAAAATATTGAGGAGCTGAGGCAAAGATTACAAAATGCTTTCTTAATATATGTTATAATATGTTCTTTCGCAATTAGCAACGAATATGCCACGTCGAGCAGGTTATTATGATAGGTTTGAACTTTGAACATTTATTAATGTTTGAGTGACATTCAAAATTCTTCAACTGTTTCTTTCCCTTCCCTGGATTTCTTAATGTATTTTAATATACATTTGCTAGTTGAAAATAATCTTTCCAATATGCCTTGTATATGTTTTGTGATTTTGGTTGTGTTTACAAATGTAGTAGTTATAATGTATATACCTATTACGGTCAAATTATTAGTATTTTTGATCGTTAACTGAATTTTGTGTTATAAATGGAAATATTAAATTGGTTATTAAAACAGCTGTACGATTGGTGGAAACGTTTATTTCAGAAATTATTTTCATTTTTTTTTAACATTTTAAACAGATTACAAGCTCAATTCATCAGAGGCCGATGATGATGATTGGAAGATGGATGTATATGAGCAGGAAGCTATTTCGGATATAATCGTTCTGGCCTCTGAGCTGGCTGATAGAAGACTTCTTCCTGCACACACCTCCAAAGCAGCAGGGAAAGTCAGCAGTGATAGGTTGATTTTTGAAATCTATAAACACCAAAAAATAAAAAAAATCGAGTTGTTAAAATAAAGGGTGAAAAATCCTAATTATTACACCGTTTTATCTAATAGTTATTGTCATAGTCAACAATAATAAAACAAAATATATAAATGTTAAAGTGGGTACTTGTACTGCATGCATGTCACGTGTACTTCATTGTCACGAATTTACTCGGATTTCATTGTTTTCCTTCAAGAGTATCGTTTGGTTGAGTTGTTGTCTTGTTTAGTTTAAGGCTACTGTTTAAATATAAATATTATACCATGATAGCGCTTTGGGTCGCAAAAGTTATGCCGTTGTATTCGGTTTTGACGACGAGACCTCCAAGACAAGCTCCGGTGTTGAACAAGCCAGACCCATTTCTACTGCAGCCGTCCATTTGTTCCACAACTGCTCTTGTGTAATTGACAGCGCCATCTGCCAAAGCCGATAGCTTGTCGACCATAACTTGGATTTCGTCCACGTTTTGTTCAGCGCAAATATGTGAATTTTCACGCGCTGTTGTAAAAAGATTTTCTGCTGCATCACGTTGGTTCTGAAAAACGTATTGCGAATTTATTTTGGGTGAAGTTACCCAAAACCTACTAAAAAACGAAGTGAAGAATCGCTGTTAGGTCCAAACGAAGATATCGCATATATTTTGGACATTAGAATACTAAATAAGTTCCGACGGTTCTTCTTTTATTATAACAATTTTTTTGACTATAATTAAAATCACGTTCTATTTAAGAAAATATTTTATCCGGAAATAAGAATCAAAAACATTTTGGTTTAAAGGTTTCTGTTTTCACTTTCCATGCACCGTGTGACGGGTGGGTATCACAGGGTTCAAAGGTAGCTCATTGGGAGATTCGTGATTAGTAAACAGTGTTAGGCTAATACCAAAAATAATTCAAGAGCATAAGGTTTATCACTTATTTGCATGTATCGGAACGTACTGAAAACAGCTCACGACAAACGGTTCCAGCTTATATGAACGCACAGGTAAAAGGATTTAATACCTCAATACAGGCTTTCACGGCAGGTCCAGCGCCTGTAATTCTATCTGCGATGTTTTTTATCGCTTGCTCTATTCCGTCACGGAGTTTTTGTAAGTCTGCGATGATTTTCTGACCAAACAGTTGTAATTGTTGTTGCATTCCTCTAACGAATGTGGCAACGGCATCTCTAGCTTGCTGCACAGCCTTCAGTAAGTTCTCTATCAATTGTTGTATTAGCACCCTGTGAAACAAAATAATATCTTAAAAATTAAGTACAAGCTTTTTACGTAAATATCTTAGGGAAACTGACCATATAGTACTAAAGTTTACGTAGAGTTATGGGCACATCAGAATTATTATGGAAAATTTAAAATAGTGAGCAAAACTCATTTTAAAAACTTAAATCAATTTATCGTTAGCGTTATGCTATATATATAACATAATCATTATTTTAATTCGTTTTCCAATCGAATTGTTCATATTTCAAATTGTTTTTACGCTTTGAGCAATTTATTTGTTTTTTATTCGTAAAATAATATATGCTGGCTTAGAGCTTTGTTTTATTTCATGCTTTACACTAGAAATTATTTTATAATAACAAATGTAACGTAACTATATATATAGTGTTAGATTCCCTTTTTTATAATTTTTTAAAAATAAAATAAAATATGTTTATTATGGAACATAAGATACATGTATCACTTATTCCACGTCATTAAATTTGAAGGCATCCCTACTCATCGGCAAAGAAGACAGAGGGTGTAGGCCGAGAGAAAAAGCCGGCGTAAAAAACTCTCGGTACTCTTTTAAAACAGCAAATCATCAAACAACACTTATTTAAAACAAATATCGCAAATTGATTAGAAGTAGCCTGTCTAGCACTAGTCCCAGGCCCTTTTATCAACTAGATAATCGTTGACTTTATAGTAAGCCTTTTTACACAGCTTTTCTTTAATACATTTCTTAAATTTATTGAAAGGCAGTGATAAAAGAGTTTGTGTCCGCCCTTTCTGTGGTTTTAAAAATTGTTCCTTCCTCATGCTTTAGATAAATTTGTGTGCAGTCATAACAGGAAATGCTAATAAATTAAAAAAATACCTGGTATTTGCTAAAATATCTACATCTCGTCGTTGGCGTACGGAGACTGATGCGTCAGGGCTTCCGAGTGAGGTAGACACCTGCAAAGAATTAATTTTTTTATTTAACAAATATAGCTACGTCATTAATTCTATTTATTTATTTGTTTTTTTATTAAATAAAAGATAAAACCACGAATTAAATAATATGAATATTACTGTTATTTTTTATGCCTTCAATTTTTTTTCATTCGCAAGCGATTTTTCTTCTACTCAAAAAATAGCTTAACGCAAACGGGGCATATGGAATCCTATACATTATGACTAAATTGTAATATTTAAAAAAAACTTAAATTATGAATTAAGTATTCTTATTGCATTAAATCAGTTTCCAACCTTTTTTGTGCCATGCCCCACCTTAGCCTTACTAAAATTCTTATGCCCCCTAAGTATTATTCAACATACATAACTTGTAATTTAAATTTTTTTATCGTTAAATTAAAGAAAAAATGATACCTTTCATATTTTTCCCTTTTAGGAATAAATTACTAGGAAATTTTTAACGATACACAGTAAGTAAAACCTAATTCTAATTACAAACAATTTTAATACATCTTTTTTAATAATAATCAAATTGCCCCCTGTAGGTCGACGGCCCCACGTTGGGAAACACTGCATTAAATAATAGTGCTAATCAAACTAAATATCAAATAGTAGTAGTAGAATAAAATTCATTTAGATTTCTTTTTCAATCAACCAAAATTGACATCACATATTTTTGCCTACATAATAAAAATTAATTTTAGTTTAGTTTGAATGGTCGCATCCACCACTAAAAACTCAGTAAATTTGACGTTTTTTCCCGTAATAAATTTAAAAAAAAAAGAAATTGAACTCACCAAACCAAAGAACAAAACAAAAACGAGTAGCTTCATTTTACACCGTCTGTATGACAATTCGCGTAACTAATGGTCCGTTGTAACTACTTATGGGTTTTATAGCGAACTAGTTAAACACTACGTTGCAATACTTACAATTGATAAGATCATAGGGTGGTAAACACATTAATTAGCACAAAAGTTAATCATATTTGCTTTGTTTTATCGTACACGTAACCAGATGGCCGCATCTTTTTCTACTATTTGCAAAACCTGGAAAATAATATAAAATATAATTTGCTGAAAAAGTACTCGCTCCGAGTTGATTGCATATAAGTCGGCAATAGGGTTATCATAGTGATTAAGATGGCTATTATGAACACTGAACTTGTGCGTTTGAACCCCGGCTGTATTAATTTACCACAACCTTAGAATTTAAAAACTTGACGCTAAGGCCCGTTTAGGGTTGTAGCGCCACTTAATTGTAGGACTATCAATTATTTGATAGAAAAAAATAAAAGGTATAAAAGGTAAGGTAAGATAAGGTAAGGTACTGTGTTAAAGTCAATATTTATAGAGAAATTAAATATATTTTTATGGAACATGGGCAACGTAAACGGGCAAAAGGCTCACCTGATGTTAAGTAATGGACCATGGACAGTGGACACTCTTTAAGCCAGAGGGCTCGTGAGTGCGTTGCCGGCCTTTTAAAAATAACTGGGTTCCCAAATTAGTATAAAAATATAAATATTTATTTAGCAGTAACGGGATTATCCAATATTAAAAATTAAACATTGAAGAATATTGCTTGAATGGCGATTGTTTATCACCACTATAAAGTACTTATAGTACTTTGAACTATGAGACGTATTATCAGTATCTAAATATGCTTATATGCTTAGCTGTTTCTATTTGTATACAGCTTTCAGTCTTTTGTATGGGCTTAAAGAGAAAAAATAAGGTTTAGGTATTTGAAGTATAATCTGACAATGTAAGATCGGTTCACTTTTTTTACACAAAATTTTCTTAATACAGTTGACGTCGTAGACAGTCGGGTAGATTATTTAAATTTAATCGGCTTATAAATATTTGTTTAAAAAGTTAAAACAAAATAAAGATGATATTTTGGGCACCTTTAGTGGGTTCAGTAAGCTTAATTGTGCAATTTCATGTTTAATGAGTTATCTAAAAAATCAAGGTCTTATAATGCAAATACAGTTATCATGACATGATTTTTTCTGTTTATTGTTGTACTATATTTTGTGTTTCAGTAAGATTGTAAATATACTAATAAATGGTGAAATTAGAGCAGTCTTTGGCTTCAGCGTGCGACTCCTGAGGTCGTAGGTTCGAACCCCGTCTTCGATTTTAAAGCTTCACTCCACCCGGAATTTAATTCATCAGGGTGTGGCAGAATTAAAGTACCTATGCTCCGAAAATATGGAAGCAGATATCCTGACAAAGGAGCTGCGTGACTGCAGAAACTAAGACCAAGTTCGGGAATTTCGGGAAGAGGAGTGTTGGTAACTGTTGGCACAATCCTTTCGTGCTTTTTAGTTATTTTCTATATTGTCTTTGTATATATAGGTTAAATCTTCTTACAATAATCACATTCGAAATAAAAAATCTTCGAGTCGATTAGTTTTTAACATCTATGTACGCAGTAACCATCGCTCGTTACGTCGAAAACATCGTGAGGAAAGCGAAGGACAAAGAAGTCTCAGCCCCAGAACTAAAAAGTTGTAGCGCCAGTCTTTTTTATAAATATTGAAGTTTTGGTATTTACTCCAGATTCTCTCAATAAATAAGGCGCATATGTATGGGTTTAAAAAAACGGATTTCAATTAGTACAATAATTTTACGTCAAGGGCAAACGTTTGTATAAATATGTAACAAGTAAATCGCAGATTTTTGGGATAAATTTACCCAATAAATTTACAAACATTAACGGATTTTGATGGACTTGACATACGTGAAAATCCTAAAACGTGTAAACAGTTTTCGTTACATACGTCGATATTTTTTCAAATAAAACCGCTATAAAATATTTTTGTATCACGATTATAATAAATGCGATGCGCACATATATTTTATTACTATCTTTAGTGTTATTGGCTCATAATGCCATGTGTCATATGACTTCGTTCAAGATCATCATGACCACTTTATAGCAATAATAGAACTGCCTTATTTATAAACATACGAATAAAACAACAATATCTAGTATAGAATATAACCTTTCTAAATGAGTGAGCTATTAACGGTATCAGAAATCTGAATTTAATGATACTGTTAACAAAACATCCGGATGCATAACCCCTTCCCCTCTGTTTTTTTTATTGCCTTTATCTGCCCTTTCTCTATTGAATTAGGTAATATGTACCCGTTTTCAGACAGACATAAAATTGATTACTAACAAAAACACACACACATAACAATAATCAAAGAAAAAAATAATGAGAGATATAAAAAAAACCTTTTTCCCATTCGTTTCAAGCGTGTAATGCGTGTGTGCTGTGGCTGTAATTGGCCCTGGCTCAGCATTATGCTGAGGAGCAGAATGTTGGACAGCGCTGGTCATTCTGCCAGAGACCACAGCAGCGAGTTTTCTTAGATAAGGTATTTAGAAATCCATAAAGATGCCATGATAATGCTTCGTTATTTACGTTTATGTTTTTAAGGCGCGAAATATTGCAAAAATAGGCTTAATACCGTGAAGAAGTGATACGAGTGGAATAAAGCTTTCATAGATATTTCCAGTAAATTTTTATATAGTATAGGGGGGAAAACGTGCCTACGGGGCGCCCAAATAGGGCAGTCATCCCATGGACACCCATTTTAGTGGGTGCGTTGCCCTTTCTCCCAGGGAAGACCCCCACCGGGAGTCGATTCCACAGTTCACTAGTTCGCAAAAGAAAGTGTCTTGTGAAGCGGACCGTGGAAGACTTCCAGCCATCACGGTAATGCTCTATCAAATCAAAGTTAATTTAATTATGAATTGATATTTGATTGATCTAAATTTACATTTACTACTCGTTTCCAAATTACAAGGGCGTAGAGCGGGCGAGAAAAACTAGCATAAAACTTCACCACTATTTTTAATCCCTAAGTTTTAGTTTATAAGGAAATTGTAAGTAAAACTGGAAATGCCGTTACGATTTGTTTCCAATCGAAACACTTACTGCAACTTATTTACAAACAGAGGAATAAAACAATTTACAACTATAGCCTTTCTTATGATGTGGGCCTCAGAATTCTGATACTGATAATAAAACATACGGATTCTGCGATGACGTTAACAAACTTAAACGCGGTAAAGTTATTCCGACTTCTAAAGCTATTTAACTCCTCGATCTTAGCCAACAGGGCCTTCGGACCGGCCAGTCAGTAGCAAGACTTGTCGGCGGCCCTTTTCTTTTGTAGGTAGGAGGAAGATCAGCACCTTCTTTCCTCCACAATCTTCTTTTTTAGTTGCTTTCTTCATTACTGAAGGTCGTGCTAGTGGTGCACATCTTCTTTTCACACCTCTATTCCCCCCTGTCTTCGTCAAGCCTTAGAGCCTGTGTAATACTAAGGCCTGTAAGGATGTTATCTTGGTCGGTCCAGCGAGTAGAGGATCGGCCTCGGGGTCTCGTACCTTTCATTTTACCGGTCACCACAAGCTTCTCCAAGTTATCGGGACCTCTGCGTGCTTTATGTATAAAGAAGCTTTGGTGACGTACTGAAGAAAAGCGCGTCGTCATTTGTAGTTGCCTGAGAATTGAACATCCGCCATCAAGAGAATCCTGAACATCCGCTTGCTTTCAGATGTTCGCACAGTCCATGTTTCAGCGCCGTATAAGATGATGGGGAACAATAGTGACTTCACCAATCTTCTTCTCAGTTTTAACCGAAATATTTCCTCCACAATATATTCCCACAAATTTCTAAACACATCGGGAATTATATAAATACGTTGTATATATAGCCAACCCTTCTTTAATGCTAAGTTTTGGTACCGCGTGGTCCATGTTTGCGACATCAGCGCCGGTAGGTATTTAGTAACTCCCAGTATCTTTTGGCTTTTAGTAGCACGTGATCATAAGTTTGCGATATCAGCCCTGCGATTCTGTAACTTACTCAGCGGTTTTCGCATCGGCGGTCGCTCTGAAATCAGTCGTGAAGCAGTCATTTTATGATTTGGCATTCTAATAAACAATAAACTACAAGCTTCCACCTTTTCAGAATGCAATATCATAAAATGACTGCTTCACGACTGATTTGAGAGCGACCGGCGATCCGAAAACCGCTGTGTGAGTTCGAAAAGTGAGTTACAGAATCGCAGGGCAGTTGCGTGAAACGAAACGCTGTCAGAATTTAGAGCAATACTACGGTTGCTGTATTCCCTTCCCGGTTTACCAAGAGCTGTCATAATGAAACAAAGGGTCACGCTTCATAGATTTATCATAAATATCGCCTTGTCAATTCTAGTATGTGTTTTTTATCAGATAACCGATTTATCAAGTTGACGTGTTAATTCGAGGCTATTGGTTAAGAGTTACCTTTGATTTGTAGATAAAGGGTTAACCTAATGTCAAATATGGCCTTTTCTGACATTTTGATATGAGATGCCTTCGAAATAATGCTTATAAATACTTAATTAGGATTATAACAGTATAACTTTCGTAAATGATTCGCTGTATACAGCGAGTTAAGTAAAGTTATAACTTTAGTTAACGAATTACATAGGTTAAAAGACCTTTTGTATTGTTCGTTGAGTCAACTGACAAAAGTTCTATCATTTGTTAGTAGTCTAGTTTGTAGTGTAGTACCTTAATTTTTTTTAATGTAATTCTTTAGCTTGTTTTTCCTTATTAATTTCTTGCATTTGTTTTTTGTTTTGTGTGAATTTTTTATTGGTTCTGCATTCTTGTCTATTAAGGGTAACCTGTTAGGACAGGATTGCGTTTTTGCAACTAATTAAACTAATAAACTTACGTTACGTACGTAAAATCGATAAGCTATTTTAATCAATAGTATTTCACTTGCATTTAGGCAGTGATTTTACCGACTATTTT